CTTCTAGAAAGAAATCTGAAAATTTGGACGAAGTAGAATGAAATAAGGTAAGGTACATCGCAATGCTATATGCGATCTTTCCTTATGTAAATGGAAACTCGTAGCAAATTCCCAGCCTATCAAATGGCGAACGTTAGCAAATCAACGAGAGAGAACTTCGTGAGGGGATGTGATATTCGGCCAGGTGTAAAGAGTGGTGGAGCTGAACAGCACAACACTTGGTGTGCCTGCTTATCACATACTTGAGATTCAAGCTCTGATCTGGAACAGCATTGTTGTAACAACTGCTCTTCCTTTCTCTCTCTCTCTAGATCTCTTTTTGTTGGTTCAGTCATAGCTTTGATTTGATCGGACAATTTCAAAAAGCGAAAGAAGGCTTCATGAAAACAGATCAAGAATATTATCGAAACTGCATCATTGGAAAGATAGCACAGCAAATAAGGCATGAAAAGTGTTATAATTACTCCTTAAACCAAGCTAATTTTACTCAGTAGCAAATGTTTGCTTTGGACTAAACTATCGCTAGTTTCTTTGGGGATTAGCCAATATCATCCCTTCGATTGTCTTTTAGTTAATAACTTTCCAAGGAATCTAAAATTTTATGAGTCACTGATAGAGGCTTTAAATTTCAATATAGGATCAAATCAACATCGGTTGGCACATATTCAATCATTGTGATCGTTCATGTATTTCATTTTTCAAACCTCATGCGTTGCGATGCGGCGCAATCGTCGGGGTCAAGGATTCTCCCACTCCAATGTCTATCGACTTTGCAGGCGCTGCGTTATTCATGTCACTGTTGTTTTTTTTTATTTCACCATTCATTCATATGAGCTTAGGGTATCTGCTTCCAATTAAGCGTGTAAACAGCTCGAAGACTTTTAACCATTTCTTAAGTCAACCGCAACCTTTTGTTTGTTTGAAAAATATCAATGACTTATATTGAATTCGAGTTGATTCGCATGTTTATAATAGAACTTTTCATTGATAGCTCTAGTTAGAAAGTTTCATGTGATTGCCCAGCGTTCTGTAAGATGTTCATTTATGATTGCAGTTGATCTAGTTTAGTTCTTTCTTACTTTTTACTACAAGAATTTTCTTTTAGATGCAACGCTTAGCCCGTATTCGTATTTTGGAACCTGAAGACCCATCTACGGTGTCAGCATTTGAAAGAAAAATCAGAAGGCTCCTCTCATTCGCTTACCGTCTATCGGTATCCATTTTTGTTACTGTTCATCTGTTCGACTTCCTGTTCAGCAGCGTTTGGATGCATGGTTACATCTGGTCGCTAAACTTACCGATCGACCTGGACATGTCGGATAAGTCGGCCGGAGCTATTGTTTACCACCAGCTGGAACAGGTCGGTGTTGAGAT